CCGATTTCAGGAAAGCTGTAAAAGAAACCTTTTGGTCTAATTTGTTTGGCTATAGCCCATTTGTTCACACGCTGTTTGGAAGGGATCAAAGCATCTTTCATACGCCCCACTTGCATATGAAACAGATTTAAAAACTACCACAGAAAGCACTAGATCTAGTAGGGCCATTCTGGATTTCACAGTGTATCAACTCTGCCTAAAAAGTATCAATTTCTTTTCTGTCCCAGTATCAGGTGACGGCTCTTGACTTAATGCATTAGGGAGAAGAAGCTTAGCTCTGCGGAGTGCAGAGCATGAATAATCTTATAGCCAGTCTCTGCCCTTGCTGGTTTGTTACTGCCTCTGCTGTTTGGATATCCCTGTTACAGTGAGAACAGCTCATACTGGTGCGCCCTTAGTCACAGCAGTATGAATAAGAAAAGGAAAAGTATTTGCACTGGTATGCACTGGTATTCTCTTGAACCTTCAAGGAGAAGGATAGATTTTCCTTCGTGTCGCTTAGAAGAGTTTACCTTTTCAGCAGTGACCATGTAAAGAGCATGAATTTATCTATGCTGTTTTGAAGTTAATAATTTGTAAACTGGGAGTTCAACTTTGGGATCCACAGCACAATTTTTTGCCCCAGGTTAAGACAGAATACATGATTAAACAACCAAATAAAATTTTAATTTAAAAAAATATTTAAAATGTGTTTACGCTTAGAATTAATGCATTTTAGAAGAGGAAATAATTTTTAAGACCAAGGTCCTTTTCAAATGTGAAAATGGGTTTTAATCAGAAAGAGGTGTGAAATGTAATATCTTTATAAAATGATATGAGATCTCTAACTTGAGTTACTCTTTCACTCATAGATAAATGTGGCTTCTTGTGATGGAAAATGCCCATCTGCAACAATTTTCAATGTCAATATTGACAGCCATTTAAGATTCTGTAAGTGTTGTCGAGAGACTGGAACACGTAATGTGACTGTGCCACTCCGCTGCTCAGGAAACGGCACTGAAATCATGTACGTCATTCAAGAGCCTATAGACTGCTCCTGCCAGTGGAACTGAACAGGACTGTGGATGCGATTTTATCTGAAGAATTAACATGAGTTTCCTTTCACCAGACTCTCTTTTTTGACCTTGGATGGCTATACTACTCTGCAGGGGAAAAAAAATAAATTAAAATGTCCTCAATTATGTTTTATAATGTAACTTCTCACAAATTTAGAAAAGATTATGTTCTTCGTTGTTCTTCAAATTATAGGAAGAAAAATATAAAAGCTTTGAACAAGGTTTTTAGCCATCATTTATTTCTCCTCAGTGGCCTTCTGATGAGCTGTCGAATGCTGCTTAATGTCTGTGTTTCCAGTGTTTTAAAATTTTGGATTGTGACTATTATCAAAGTTCAGAATTTCTCAGTGAGTCTTTTCCTTTCACTTGGGAACTTCTGGTTGAGAACCATCACTGGTCCCATGTTTAAATGGGAAAGGAGCATACTAAGGTTTTGAGAATGACTGAATTAATTTATTAAAACAATGGTGGGTTCAACGGAAACATTTTTTATCTTGCTGAAAAGTCTGTCTTTTGTCCATTAGCCTGTTGTCAATGAAGGGACTCTGACTACACTGTAACTGACTGAAAAACACCACGACTGTGGTCTGTAAGTACCTGTTGTGTATCTCCAGGCCATATACCAGAATCATAATAATGTCTTTAAACTTTTGACATCTATTTAATTTTGATATATATTATAAATATGAAGCATGACTAGGCAAAGGCTGGAGAGTTCAAGCTTTTTTGCCTTTGTTGAACATACCTAAAAGCTGTTTCTGATATGAAGGATCCTATTTTATATCCATTTTTCAGTTTTCACAAATAAGAAATTAGCTGTCTACTAGCTGTAGAGTAAAATTCTATGTATATATATATTTATTAAAAAAACAGGATACTGTACATTTTAACTATTCATAATAGGTTTCTTCTTTTGTTTTCCATTTTGAAGATTTGTGTTCAGTATATTTTTACAAAATACATAAAACTAGGGTTTTTTCTTTTTTAAATATTGAGATTTGGACTATTGACTAAATTTAGGATTCATAGTTTTTCATTCCAGGAAATAAAATCATATATATTTTGAAGGACTTAGGTGAGCTATTCATGTCCAATCAGGCTGTGAATGTCCCGATTCAGCACCTTAGGCTGAATACACTCTCCCTTTTATTAAACATACTACATAATACTATCTTAAAAACTAGGAATACAACTTATGTTTGTTTTTAGAAGACTGCTTTATAAACTCACTGAATATATATGACAGATATTTCAAGTTATTCTATACTAGGGCCTAGAACCAAAATATTCTCTGCTATTGCTGTTGGAATTTGTGTACAGAAACTATTCATGCAGGCCAGAAATGGGAATTTAATCATAGTGGTAGCCATAACGTTTGTGTACTCATACAGCAAATTAAAAGAACAACTTTTAAAAGAAAAATACATCCTTAGAGCCTTTTGATTTATTAACATAGAGATAGGAATCGTCTATTTGCATCAAGAGAGCTTGGCCAAAAACTTCTTAATGAATTTAGCATTTGATAAATTACTGATGGAATCTCCTACAAGATAGCATTTTTCCACATAATGAACAAACACTTGATGTGTTTCAATGGAACAGCTGGGGTTTTTTAAGCAATATGCTTTTGTAAGATTTAGAACTGTATTTGTAATTAAAGAAAAATTAATAAATATTATTTTGCAGAATGCTAATAAATCATTGTTGATACATTTAATTTACCTGTGCCGCTATGGATGAATGATACTGCTGAATCTTAAATAAACCTGGAAATTAAAAGCAGTTATGCTTAAAATTACGTTCATGATAACTTGCAATAGGAAAATGGTGTTAAAAGGTCTTTTTCCCACCTACCCAGTTTGGTTTTTTAAGTGCAACAATCAGTAGGAACCATGTCAGGATCATACCTGAAGCCTTCTGAGGGGAGACCTTATTTCACTGAATTTTTTAGAGTTGGAAGGGACCATAGGGATCATCTAGTCCAACTCCCCTGTTAAAGCAGGACCACCCAGAGCTTGTCAGACCTTATCTCTCTCTACAACTACCTGAAAGGAGGCTGTAGACAGTTGGGGGGTCAGTCTCTTCTCCCAAGCAACAAGTGATAGGAGAAGAGGAAATGGCCTCAAGTTGCACCAGGGGAGGTTTAGATTGGATATTAGGAAACATTTCTACACCAAAAGGGTTATCAAGCATTGGAACAGGCTGCTCAGGGAAGTGGTGGAATCATCATCCCTGGAGGTATTTAAAAGACAGGTAGATGTGGTGCTGAGGGACATAGTTTAGTGATGGTTTTTGTCAGTGTTAGGTTGATGGTTGGACTTGATGATCTGAAAGGTCCTTTCCAACCTTTCCAATAATTCTATGATTCTGCAGCAAAATCACACATCTCCAGTGGAGCTGGACATGGTCTAAGACTGCTTTTCGTTTGACAACTAAACTTCAAATTTAGACTGCTTTGGCCCACTCAGAAAGTGAACATCTACTAACGCTTGTGAACCATTTTCTGGACAGCCGTTTACGCCCGTTACCTCCATCAGGGTGACACTGGCACCATGTGGTATGTTTTATATACTGTGAACGAGCCCTCGCAGGCCTTGCAATGGAGAGAAGCTGTGAAGGAGCCTGCAGTGTGGCAGGACTGTTCTGATCCAAATAATTTCTTGGTCTGTAATTTAAATGTAAGTGGAGATGGAGTTCATGATTCTGTCTTGATTCCTTCAGCTCTGCATTCCTGTCTCAATGCCCAGCCTCGAATCACGGGTAACCCTGTTTGTGCAGGCATCTTGTGAGCTGGTCTGGAAAGCTGACCCAACTCAAACCTCACCTAGTTAAATACCAAAAGTAATTAGTTTGTTTATTATTGACTAAAGGAGCTTTAGCACCCACAGAGTGCCCTCCTTCCTACCCTGCGCTGCAACTAAGACTTGAATAACTTCTACTCCCCTAAGGAAAGACCGGGAATGTGTCCTTATCTCAAACTCCCACGTTGCCACCAGAAAATGTGAGGAACTGGGGAGAAGCTGTGTGCCTGACCGAGGGCTTGCACTTGTCCCTCACTCCTACGTTTCTGCTGCTCTGTTCTCCCACTTGCGCTTGCAAAAGGAATTCCACAATAGACAGGCTTACCCATAAAACTACACAGATTTTTTTTAGGGACTAATCTAGATCTATCTCTATACTTAGAATCAGATTGTAACTGAATATGCCCCTATAAAATAGTAAGGCTTTAGCTATATTATTTATAATATTTGACTTTTATAATTCCATTGCCTTATTACCTTGACTTATAATTCCAGTGCCTTATTGCATTTGTTAAGACCAATTCTTGCCCCAATATGCAATTAGAATTTGAAGCACAGCTTTTAATGCTAGGTTTAAGCCACTTACTGTGTGTTTTCATTAATACAATCCAAGACGGAATATAGATATATAGACAGCTAATACTCTCATTTTTAGCTAGCCAAATATGTATATTAAGAACTGAAAGTAAAGCTTAATACGTTTGCAAGATCTATTACTTTTCCACATTGCAGGCAAACACCTTCCCAAATAACATGCATCTGTGTACTGGTGAAAAAGCTATTTGCACTGAGGTGTTTGTTACTAGTATTTTTTGGGAGCAGGATCAGGTCTGAAGCATGTTTTTTGAAAATTGTTACATGCCACATAATACACTGAAAGGTGAAGGTGTTTAAAAGAACACACTCCAGGGTGACAAATGTGCTGTTCACAGCGCTTAAACAGCCACAAAATGCTGCTTCAGATGTGGCTCCTGTCCCCTTTCGTGCTCCATTCCAGCTGACACAAATTCAATTGGTTTTTTTTGACCCCTTGTGCTGCCTATAAGCTCCGCTTACAGAGCATTGATTTTTAATTTTTTATTACGCATTAGTTCCATATATGTTCTTCTATCTCTCATTTTGTAAGAATTTAAAGGACACACTCAATTTCCGAATACAGAGGTTCACCTTTGTGTAACAGCTTCCTGCCAAATACAGGTGTAGGTCTTAGTCAGAAATACTGTGGCAGTAGAAAACATTGAACTTATTTTTTCAAGTTCTGAAATTAAATTCTTTTCCAGTGGTTACTTTGAGGTTATGCTGCTCGTGTAAACATGTACAGGTGTATCACCTAGGGAAAAATCCCATAGGTGTGTGTTCTAGTACAGGGTACAAAACATAAATGAGTTGTCACACATAAGTATAGCAATATAGTGACTGTGGAGGGGTAGCATGAAGGCCAGAACATCAGCAGAAAAAATTTACAGTTACAGTGGGATATTGGTGCTGTATTTCCTAGATTAGGTTGGGTTTCACACTCCCAACCACCCTGGGGAATGCATTTTCAAAAAACATTCATGATGTGAACGGAAAAGACCTTTTGAGGGATAGCCTTCAGCACTCCACGTTAATGGAAAAGAAAAAAGCCTTTTATTGAGGAAAGGTAATGGCTGAGAGGGTCTGTACATAACATGGTGTACTAAATTTTCACTAACCTTTTTTAAAACGCCAAGCAGAATGTGCAAGCTGCCTACAGAACAAGGGAACTTGAAAAATTATCTATGCATTATCATTAACAAGTCATCACAGTTTAGGGTGGAAGGGCATATTCAGAGCTGAAGAACAATGAACTCTCGCAACTGCAAATACTGTTCACTGACTAGTTCCTGGCAGCCGCACACTGACCATTTCAGAACCACCTTTTTTGCCTGTTTTGAAAAATAAGTCTACATATAGACCAATCAAAATCAGTGGTAAAAAATTCCCTAAGATCAGAGATTTGAGAATGTCACTCAAAGGAGATAGTCTAAAAAAATGTCTTCTACATATAGTTTCTATTTTTATGAGTAGTTTTTGTGTGAAGAATGGGGGAAGAGGTGCTTCTCTACTGATGCTGCATCCTGGAGAAAACAAATAGTTAACCATGTTAATACTTAATCACTAAAAATGCTGAATAAAAGGAAAGTGGTTATGTTTTGGGGAGTGTTCTTTTGATTAGGGTGGAATGTGCCTCGCGCACTTAATTTAGTGAGGTTAAAAAAGAGCGGGCTCCTGCTCTTGTCTTGAATATCACCCCATTAATAAAGCCTCCCTTAGCACTCGGTGATCACAAAATGCTCTGGACAAAAAAGGAATATGTTTGCTTTGTAAAACAGCTGAATAGGAGGGGCTAAGTCAGGGCACTTACAGCCAAAATAGCCTTCAGGTGATCCACCTGTGCCCATTCTTACCTGTGTGGGTTTCTCAGAGAGAGACTGACTCAGTGTTCTGAGATCAGGGGTTTCATTGCAGCAGCTTTTAATTTACTACTTCTCTCTGAGTATGGGTAACATAAAAGCTTCAATGGTAAGGTATTTTTTTTTTCTGGTGAGACTAAGCCTGCCTTGTTTACTAGATGTTCTAAGTATAGCTCTAATTAAAAACTGTATTCCTTATTTAATTATTCAATGTTAGTTGGATACAGGTTTAGGAAAAATAAGGAACAACCCATCAAAGTACAAGATACTATCTCAAGAAATAGAATGTTATGTGATCATAGCACCTAAAAAAATACGCAGTAAATATTATCAGTGTTGTTCATTTTCATGGTACATATATACAATGGCACTAATTTTTATTTATTTTATAACTACTTTGTCTGGAAATAATTTGTGAATTTTTTTTTATCAGCTTATTAACCTGATTTAATTTCAAAGAGCACAGTGGCAAACTAATTTTCTATTAAAATGGTTAATTTGGGGAAGGTTAGGGCACTGTGAATTATATTGAGGTAAGCTTACTTCTGAATTCACTGCTTCAAATCTGGCCCAAGGCAGATGTGTTTGTCTGAGCCGAGTTCCTGCTCAGTGGCCTTTGGGAAATAAATCAGTGGTCCCACCATTACACGTTCTTGACTATTCTTTGTTTATAGGTGCTTGCACTGGCAACTTTGTGTGGGACCTCTGTACGGAGGCCAACAGCTTGATAAGAATCAGAAATTCTGCCCCAAGGAGAAATTCTGCCTCGAGGAAGTAAACGAGGATCTTCACGGTGACTCCAGCAGCGAGATGATGTCAGTGTCTATTTCTCCTCTGGGGCTAATCTCTGTGTTTTACAGTAGGGGTGCTCCCTGGTGAGGAAACTGGTGTCACACTGGGGAGCAACTGTACGGGCTCTGAGACCAGCTGTATTTCTGAGACCTGATTTAACTCTTTTCATGTAAAATCTTGAATGCAAAACCACCTAAGAGTTTAGCTAGTAAAACGGACACAACAAAGTACTTCATGCTAGTTGCTTTGACTGTATTTGTGGCTGATGCCTCCCCCCCGAGATGCACTCCCTAACGCTGTCATGCCCAGCTGGAAAGCATCTTCTCAAAGTGAATCAAAGCCAGTACTCCTGGGAGCAACCTCCCTGTTTTCCACACAGTTACAAAGCCCCACAGACACGGCTATTACACGTAAAAATTGCTGGGGAAGGCCTGCGGGCGGTGGGTTGCGGTCGGACCGGCACAGCTGGGTAACGCAGCGGGGCAGCCCCTCACACGGCCCAGTGCCCGGTTCCCTTCTCCCCGGCAATTCCTCAGGAATATTGGGCTGTCACTCCTTTCAGCCATACACATCT